AGAAATCCAATATGTAACAATAGAGCGCAAACTTTTTAAATGGTGCTGAGAAAACTGAACTGCCATTTGGAAGAAGAAAAGGTTGCATCTGTTCCTCACACCACATAACAGAATAAATACAAATCTAAATGTAACACGTGAATTGGTGAAGCCCTCTGTAACATGGGTTTAGTGAAAAGTTTTCTGAGTTTGACTCAAATTCACACCCAGCAAAAAGAAAGCTTGCCATATCTGACTGCCCGAAGATAAAATCTATTGCATGAATAAAAACAACACCAGCAAAGTCAGAAGGCAACCAACTAGGAGAAAATTCTATAACATACCACATATACAGGGCTACCATTCCTAAGACAAAACGAACTTTTCAAAAATGGAAGGAAAAAGAGAAAAAAAAAATTCTTTCTTTCTTTATTTATTTTGGACAGGCAGGGTGGACAGTGAGAGAAAGAGACAGAGAGAAAGGTCTTCCTTTGTCTGTTGGTTCACCCCCAATGGCTGCTGCGGCCGGTGCACCGCGCTGATCCGAAGCCAGGAGCCAGGTGCTTCTCCTGATCTCCCATAGGGTGCAGGGCCTAAACCACTTGGGCCATCCTCCACTGCCTTCCTGGGCCACAGCAGAGAGCTGGACTGGAAGAGGAGAAACCAGGACAGAATCCAGCACCCCGACCGGGACTAGAACCCATAGTGCCCGGCGCAACAGGCGGAGGATTAGCCTATTGAGCTGCGGCGCCGACCGAGAATAAAAATTCTTTAGAAAAGGACAAATGTCAAAAAGCAAAAAGAATTTCCCTTAAATATATGAAGAAATGTTCAAACTTAGCCATAGTAAAAGAAATGCAATTAAATTTGATCAAGATTTTTTACTTATTAAATTAGCAAAAATTCAAAAGCTGGACAATGTACTTTGATCAATAAGACTATAAAGAAACAGGTACTCACACACTGTCCACAGCAATGCAAAAGGATACAAGCTCTATGGGAGGGAATCTGACAGTAACAAAATTATATATGCGGGGCCAGCGCTGTGGCCTGGCAGGTAAAGCCGCAGCTTGCAGTGCCGGAATCCCTTATGGGCGCCGGTTTGAGACCTGGTTGTTCCACTTCTTATCCAGCTCCCTGCTAATGGCCTGGGAAAGCAGTAGATGGCCCAAGTCCTTGGGCCCCTGCACCCAGAAGCTGCTCCAGGCTCCTGGCTTTGGATTGGCACAGCTCCAGCCATTGCAGCCACCTGGGGAGTGAACCAGCAGATGGAAGACCTCTCTTTCTCTCTCTCTCTCTCTCTCTCTCTGTAACTCTGACTTTCAAATAAATAAATAATTCTTTAAAAAAATTTATATACACATTTATTCTTCAACACAGAAATCCAATTTTAAAGACTTCATCCTCAAATCAAATTTCCTGCAGTACAAAAAATACATGAGCATAAAGTTATTCATGGCAACAGTATTTGTAATTGCAGAATACTGGGAACCTAAATGCCCAAACATTATATAGACAGCACTATGCAGTCGTAAAAATAATTAACTGATTAAGGAGAAAAAACTCCAGGATATAATACAGCCATTTCTAGGGTATATTTTAAGTGAATAAAGCAAAGCACAACAGAATATAGAGTATGTTACCTTCTTTTTTGAAGGGGAATAAAGAAAACATCCATGTATTTTCTTATCTTCACAAAGGGGTGGGTAAGCAGGGTTAAAAGGATACAGGAGGGAATGACATCACTCTGAAGTTACACTTTTTGTATAGTTTTGACTTTCCAGAAGTACCTTATCTTGCATTGTGTTGTATAGTTATGTTAAAAAGAAAAATCACATCAACCAGCGTGGGGAGCAAACACTGAAACAAATGATCCAGGTATAATTTAAACAAGCAGCAAACCCATGCTACAAGGAAACATTTGTCCGTTTAACAAATTCAAACTTTATTAGCATAGATGTTCATATTGCCTTTTTTTCAAAACCATCCATTTTATGGCAGATGTCCTAAACAGCACTCTGGCCTCAGAATCAGTCCTTAAGGTATTCGAATCTGACTAAAAAGCCCATCAGAGTATCTCAGGCATGGAAAGCCAAGACACTCTGGCAAAAAAAAAAAAACTAAATGACAGATCTCTGCGAGTGAGATCCCAGTGGAAAGAATGGGCCATCAAAGGAGGTACCTTTCTCTGAAGGGAGGAAAGAACTTCCACTTTGACTATGACCTTGTCTAAATAAGATTGGAGTTGGCGAATTCAAAAGGCCTCCATAGCCTTGGCAACCCATGACAAGAGCCTAGGGTGATTACTGATGCCATAAACAAGAGTTTCAATTGTTAAGTCAACAACAGGAGTCACTGTGCACTTACTCCTCATGTAGGATCTCTGTCCTTAATGTGCTGTACTATGTAAATTAATGCTATAACTAGTATTCAAACAGTACTTTACACTTTGTGTTTCTGTGTGAGTGCAAACTGTTGAAATCTTTACTTAATATATACTAAATTGATCTTCTGTATATAAAGATAATTGAAAATGAATCGATGTTAATGGATTGGGAGAGGGGGAGGGAGATGGGAGGGTTGCGGGTGGGAGGGAAGTTATGGGGGGGTAAAGCTACTGTAATCCAAAAGTTGTACTTTGGAAATTTATATTTGTTAAATAAAAGTTTAAAAAATCATCAAAAAAAATCCATTCTATAGGCTTTGGGGGATGCTCCTTTTTCATTCCTGATGTTGCTTATTTGCGTCTTTGGTCTTTTTAAATGGATTAATCTCATCAAATAAATTGATGTCATCAATCTTTCCAAAAGAACTACCCCTGGACATGTTCTCTATTATGTATTGTCTTCTATCTTAGGTATCCACATTGTTAATGCCCATCTGTTTCCTCATGGGTTTAGTTTGTTATTCATTTCTAACTTTCTGAAGTGGATGCTCAGATCACTAAATGTTTTTCAGGTTTTATTCTTTCCAAACATCTGCATTTAAGGCTGGACACTTTCCTGAGTATGACTTTAGCTGCATCCCACAAATTTACATATATAGTATTTTCATATTAACTCTAATGAAACATCCACTAAAAGTTTCTAATTTCCACTGTAACATCTTCTTTGACCACAGGTTATTTAGAAAAGATTTTCTAGCCAGCATCTGCTATTAATTATTTAGAATGCCATTCTGTTTGATTTTTTTTTAAAGATTTATTTATTTGTTTGAAAGTCAGGGTTAAGCAGAGAGAGGAGAGGCAGAGAGGCAGGAAGAGAGAGAGAGAGAGAGACAGACAGAGAGAGAGATCTTCCATCCAATGATTCACTCCCAATTTGCTGCAACAGCCAGAGCTGTGCCGACCTGAAGCCAGGAGCCAGGAGCTTCTTCCAGGTCTCCCACATGGGTACAGGGACCCAAGGACTTGGGCCATCTTTTACTGCTATCCCAGGCCATAGCAGAGAACTGGATCAGAAGTGGAGCAGCCAGGACTCGAACTGGCACCCATATGGGATGTTGGCGCTTCAGGCCAGGCACTAACCCACTGCACCACAGCGCCAGCCTATTCTTTTGATTTTAATACCCTATACAGAATCTTGTTTTTGTCCCCAAAAGCAGACAGCCAGGATGAATGTCCATGTGCATGTACCATTAAAAATGTGTATTCTGTATATATTTTGTTGAGTCAGGCAAGTTTTATTAACTGTTATTCAAATCTTCCACATCCTTACTAAATTTGGTTCTGTCAGTTGCAGAGATGGTGTTTAAAGAATTGCCCTCAGCCGGCACCGCGGCTCAATAGGCTAATCCTCCGCCTGTGGCGCCAGCACACTGGGTTCTAGTCCTGGTCGGGGCGTCGGATCCTGTCCCAGCTGCCCCTCTTCCAGTCCAGCTCTCTGCTGTGGCCCGGGAGTGCAGTGGAGGATGGCCCAAGTGCTTGGGCCCTGCACCCCATGGGAGACCAGGAGGAAAAGCACCTGGCTCCTGACTTCGGAGCAGCCCGGAGCACGCTGGCCGCATTGGCCATTGGAGAGTGAACCAACGGTAAAGGAAGACTTTTCTCCATGTCTTTCTCTCTTACTGTCCACTTTGCCTGTAAAGGAAGGAAGGAAGGAAGGAAGGAAGGAAGGAGGGAGGGAGGGAGGGAGGGAGGGAGGGAGGGAGGGAGGGAAGGAAGGAAGGAAAAAAAGAATCGCCCTCAGCCCCAGCACTGTGGTGCAATAGGTAAAGCCACCTGCAACAATGGCATCCTAGTTGCTCCAATTCTGATCCAGCTCTCTGCTAAGGCACCTGGGAAAGCAGCGGAAGATGGCCCACGTGCTTGGGACCCTGCACCCACACAGGAGACCCGGATGAAGCTCCCAGTTTCGGGAGCAGCCATTTGGGGAGTAAGCCAGCAGATGGAAGATCAATCTCTTTCTTCCTCTCTCTCCCTCTCCCTCGGTCTCTAACTCTGCCTTTCAAGAAAAATAATCCTTTAAAAAAAGAAACTCCTTCCATGAATGATTTTATTTCTTCTCCCTACTTCCTTTTACACCTAAATTACAGCCACTAGAACTCTTTCTGGATTATCTATTATCTATCTAGCCTATCACAGAGCATGGAAAGGTGAATGACCTCTACAACAATCAACACGGCAGCAGTTTTCAGCTAATTATTACCCAAAGTGTCTTAACACCTCCCATCTCAAAAATAAAATCATTTCTACAGACATCCTCCAAAATTTAATTGGGTCATACCCAGGAACGCCAGAGAACAGACCAATTTGTTGAATTTCTCAGAGGCACATTCTGCAACTAATTCATACTGCCAGGTGCATGGGGAAAACAGCCATCACTCCACAGACAAATAACTGAGACACTGCTATGGCAGGACCTGGCTCTGGTTCTTCAGCAAAGACGGCAAATCTCACCCTGCCCTCTGGAGCCTGTGGTACTGGATTCCACCAAGCCAAGACACTGCCTTAGAAGTGCTCACCCACAATACTCTAGACAGCAATTCTTGGCACAGTCCTGAGACCTAAAAGCTGTAGGCACCTGTGCTTTAGCAGAATGTCTGATGGTCTGGCTAACCACCTGTCCATGTGGTCACACAGTTCAAGGTGATTCTCGCATCCAAGGAGTCCTCGCAACAATCTCAGAGCTCAGGTATAGAATCAGAATCATGCTTTGTACCTCTAAGTTCTCAGCCAGGCATCACCTCCCAGTTTGGAACAGGCACCCCTCCCATGGGCACCTTTTGCTGTTCCACCTGTAGCAGCACATCAGAGAATCCCCCCCACACACTGTGATATCATCAGCCCCTTGAGGGCAGGCACTGATTCATCTCAGGAGCACAGAACCTAACACTGGCAGGCTCCTCCTCCTGTCTAGGAGTCTCCTCCACACAGCAGCCCCAGTATTCTTTTACAATGCAAATCAAATGGTAACATATTCGTGCTGAAAACCTGGCTAGTGCCTGGTGTCTCACTCAGAATAAAATCCCGAGGGCCACTGCAGTCTATGTGGCCCTACATGACCCAGCCCTTACTTCCTCTGTCCCCAAGTACTCACCTCACTCCCAAATCGCCCTCCCTGCTGCACTCAGCACTCAAGAGCCTTTGCTCTTGCTGTTCCTCTCCCCCTCCCCCAGATACGACTCCTTCCCAAAGGAGGTGCCTGGCTGGCTCACACCTTCACTCACTCACACCTTCTCCAAGGTGACTTCAAGGAGGCCTTCCCCAATCACTCAATCAAAAACTGCAGCAGGCTCTGGAGCAGGCATTTTGGCACAGCAGCTCAGCTGCCCACATCCCATATGGGAGTACACAGCTGCAGCCCCTGGCCCTGCGTCGTTCCTGTCACGCACATGGGAGTTCTTGGCTCCTGGCTTCAGCCTGGCTGAGCTTTGGATGTTGTAGGCATTTTAAAGGTGAACCAGAAGATGGACGATATCTATCTATATCTGTACATCTTTCAAATGAAAAGAGTTTTAAAAATATGTCAAGGTATGCTCTCCCTCTTGATTTTCTTTACAGCTATTGCTACTACATATATTTATATGTTGTCTGTTATCTTTCTCCTCCACTAGAATGCAGGCCTCTAAAGAAAAGGCAGAAAATTTGTCCTCCAAAACAGCGGTTGAGAATTCTTGCTGCAAAAGACCAGACAGCAAATGTCTAATACTCCGCAGGTTGAACAACGTCTGTTAGCACTTAGTGCTCCTCAGCTCTGCCTTGCAGCACTAACACAACCACAGACAATGTACAAATAAAGGGACAGGTCTGTGTTCTGATACAATTTTCTTTGCAAAATCAGGTGAGCAGCCAGGTGTGGTCCCCAGGCTGTAGCTGGCCGTCCTCTGCTCTAGAACAAGCATGGCATGGAGCAGACTGACTGAATTAGTCAACCATCTCTCTCAGTTTCTAGAGCCAACTGTAATGGATGACGGAAAATACTGGCACGCCAAGCCCATCAGACGAGTAACTTTAATCTTCTAGTACATCTTCCACCAAAAATCCCATCTGAGATCAATTCTACTCCTGAATGACTATGTTCACTCTTACCACTAGAACGTATACAAACCATGTTGATTTGGCCTTGGGTAGATACATCTTGAAGTTGCATCTTTACTTCATTTAAGGATTTTACAATAGTTTTTTTTTTTTTTTTTTTTTTGACAGGCAGAGTGGACAGTGAGAGAGAGAGACAGAGAGACAGGTCTTCCTTTGCCGTTGGTTCACCCTCCAATGGCTGCGGCTGGCGCACCACGCTGATCCCATGGCAGGAGCCAGGAGCCAGGTGCTTTTCCTGGTCTCCCATGGGGTGCAGGGCCCAAGCACCTGGGCCATCCTCCACTGCACTCCCTGGCCACAGCAGAGAGCTGGCCTGGAAGAGGGGCAACCGGGACAGAATCCGGCGCCCCGACCGGGACTAGAACCCGGTGTGCCGGCGCCGCAAGGCAGAGGATTAGCCTAGTGAGCCGCGGCGCCGGCCAATAGTCAGTCTTACAAAAACCACTGTTCTATGTGCCATAAGAATGCCACTGAGCATATCACCTACTACACCTTTCAATGTAAGCAATGCCAAGCCCCACATGTGAAATCAGGGAACACACTAAGGACGGGACATGGATGGTGAAACTACCACACAAAGGATGGTGCCCTTTCACTCTGGCCACCACGATGCTTAGCCAAGTTCCTGGTCAGCCTAGGGCAGCAACTGGCTATGCCAGCAACACCATGTCCCCTCTGCTCCAGAGGTTCCTCGCCATGTTACACTTTCCAGCCCAACGTACATGAGCTGAGGCCAGGTCTGTGCACAGCCAGCGATGAGAAATAACATGAGCTGGTCCACAGCACTTCCTATGGGGCTCTGCTCCTGTCCCACCTGCAGGCGGGACTAGCTCCCCAGTCCCTGGGGAGGCTGCAGCAGGGTGGGGAAGAAGGCCGATCATGGGAGCAGTCACACGGAAGTCCACTCAACCTGAGCGTCCACACGGGTGAACAGCACATGCTTCTGGTGCTGAGTCACTGAAACCCTGCACTTACGGAAGCAGTCAGCCCTCCTGTCAATAAGCATGGCTGCAGAGACCATGCCCTCACAGAAAGCACAGTCTTACTGTTTCCATGCCTGGTTCTCAGGTACTTTTTTGATTCTCCTTATTTACATTAGCTTATGAGTACTTCCTCTAAGCTAATTCACAACCTTATTAAATTGGAGACTAGAGACACAGAAAGCCTCTGCTGTTTATGTTCAGTGAAATGACAAGCTTCCTAGACAATGAAAATCTGGATATAAAGTACACATTCCATTTAAATAGAACTCTATTCTCTTCATAACTTGCATTTGTACACAAGTTCATCTAAGTTATGTCAGTATCCACAATGAGAAAGAATGCTGAGTAAATATTAAAATGCAGGTATCAAATGAAACCTGACGATTATTAGAAACCAAACAGTCTAAGAAATCAAGCCACAATTCCTAAACTGACTGGCAAGAGGGAGTAACCATGAACACAGCTTCATATAACACAGCTGTCTCAAACCCTTCTGTGCTTAATCCCTATATGAGGAATTCAAAAAATTCATAGAAAATGAATTAAGGGATAATTTTTATGCAAAAACATTTGAAATCCATGTATAGGTTTTCCATGACATGCATTTTACATGGACTTTTAAGATTTCTCAGGCAATTCTTTCAAATGAGGCCATGCAGTTTTGGAATTTCTCTAATTTGTTTCATTTTTTAAAGATTTATTTATTTGACGGACACAATTACAGGGAGAATGAATAAGAGACACAGAGAGAAAACTTCCATCCACTGGTTTACTCCCCAATGGCCCACAACAGCCAGGGCTGGGTCAGGCCGAAGCCAGGAGCTTCTTCCAGGTCTCCTACATGGGTGCTGGGGCCCAGTACATGGGCCATCTTCCACTGCTTTCCCAGGCAATTAGCAGGGAGCTGGATCAGAAGTGGAGCAGCTGGGACTTGAACCAGCATTCAGCATGTCAACATCTCAGGCAGCAGCTTCATTGTACACCACAGTACTGGCCCCAATGTGTTTTGTAAAGGGGCATTATTGAGGGAACTGGACATGTCAGAAATGGAAGTTTTCAATTAAGCTTATGTACCACAATGGACAAACAGTAGAGCCTCTATGAACATTTTAATTACAACTCAGGTAGGAGCTTCATTATCATTGATAAACATTGTAACCATTCTAAATTGCAATGCCAACTTTTGCAAAGGAGTAACATTTTAATAATCTTCCTCAATGGGAAATCTCAAGAACAATTCACATGTTAGTGAAGCCTTGGGAAACAATGTTGTTTGCACTGCATAATTAAAATCTGAAGACAGCTGACTAGGGGATTTGGCAGTTTCTGTGTATTTCTGGTTTTTAAACCAAAAAATCAGACCAAGTAATTATAAAATATATACAAAAAAGAAGACAGATATAATGTAAAATCAAGAACAGGTATATATTTTAAACTGTACAGGGTTGGTTATTTTTATAAAAATGTGTTTTTCTACTTATGAGAAATGGACATGTGCCCACCATTGGAAAATTACAATCTTCCTCCCAAAAGTAAGATGTTGCTTCTGAAGAAACGGACACTCAGCCCCTTCTCCTCATTGTGAGCTGGCCACCAGCACCTCAAAGAATGAGCACGTGAGCACATACTTCTCCCTCTCTCTCTCTCTCCCCGTGTCATCTTTCTGGTTAATACCATCCCCCCAGGTGGACTAGAGTCTCTTCCATGCTCTAAAAGGAGCAACTCAGATCCACAAGCCCCTCCATAAACAACTTCCATACTTAGGAGAGAACAGCATCACAAAGTCAGCGCTGAGCATTAACTGGTCCAGGTGAGAGCCTAGGACAGACCTGGTAACAGAACAGGCTAAAACACAAAGGCAGCCCTATCATTTCCATATTGTGAGAAGCCAAAAAATAAGTGTGATAGTAGGGCAACATTAAATTAAATTACAGACCAAATGTGACACTGCCATGACACTGTCCTGGTTATTAGATCCCCACGAACCACGGTTCACAACAATTTTGGTCAACATAAAAATATTTGTTGAGGGACCGGTGATGTGGAGTAGCAGGTAAAGCTGCCACCTGCAGCACCAGCATCCAATATGGGCGCCAGTTCAAGTCCCAGCTCCCTGCTAATGTGCCTGAGAAACCAGCAGAGGATGGCCCAAGTGTTTGGGTCCCTGCACCCACGTGGGAGACCCGGAAGAAGGTCCTGGCTCCTGGTTTTGGATTGGCCCAGCTCTGGCCCTTGCAGCCATTTAAGGAGTGAACCAGTGGATGGAAGATTCTCTATCTTTCAAATAAATAAAAAAAAATTGTTGAGTGGGAATATGCACTTCACCCATTTACCTGACAAAATGCAGTCACACAATGCTAGTCCACAGTCAATGACGTCTATACTTTTGAATTGCAATATAATTCCACTGAGCTCTTTGTGTGCACAAAATGAGGGGAAGCTTCAAAATAAACCAAAACGGAACTGCTGCAGCATGGTCATAAAAATCATCAGCATGGACTGGGGTAACTTTTAAAAATCCAATACAGTTCTGCATTGCTAGAAAACAGAAATCCTCAAAGACAACAGATCCCAAAGGCCATGAGAAGATAGCCAATGGGAGAAGGCAGTGAGCACTATCAGTGGGGACTCAGGTGAGAACAGAAACAGGAACCTGGACACCAAGGCCAAAAAGGTTATCTGACAGGCAGGATGCACACATCCACCAAGCGCTAATGCAGTCCGAGCCACCGCACCCCCTGGTTCCTGCCCACAATGGGCTGGTTCAGCAGGGGGTAAGATGGCTTATTCTATTCTACCTCACATAAACGTGAGCAGGCAGGAGCTTGTTCATGTCAAACGTTTTGTCACCAGTAACTAAAACAGGGTCTGACACTTTGCAGACATTCACACATGGATGGATGGATGGATGGATGGATGGAAGGAAGGAAGGAAGGAAGGAGGAAAACAAACAGCCAAAAGATTCAGGAATACATAACACATATTTTTGAAGATATCTTGAGCTCAACTTCAAGACCACTGCTCCAAAATGTCAGGAGTACACAGCTGAGAAATGATCCCAGATGCTGTGCTGAGAGCCAAGTCTAGGGGTTCTAGCAGTGGACCAAAGAGAGGAGGAAAACACCCTGGCATGTTTGGACCATTTAAAATTTGAAAAAGAGGAGGGAAGAAAAGAGTCCACAGACGAAAAGAGCTAACCTCCAAGAGAACAAACAGGCACCCATCCAGGGAAAGAGAAAAGAGAGAACAAAGCTGGCACCTAAGGTTTCAGAATGAAACCCGAGTAAGGAAAAATTATTCTATTCTCAGGACATCTAAGACAGGAGTCTAGCTCTGACACAAAACAAAGAAACAAAGCTGGCCTTGAGATAAGTGGCCGAGAAAGCTCTGACAGGAGACACTGTTCCCTTAGGTTGGGAGGACAGCACAGCTGAGGAGGGGACAGGCAGTGACCAGGACAATACAGCCTCAGGAGGCACCCACTACTCAGGGAAAGGGTAGGCTGTGCCGAGAGGAGCCCACCCAGAAAAGGACCAACCAGTCCCAGAAAAAGCATATGTTCTTAATAAACATTTAAGCAAGAAGGGAAAGTCACTGCTAAAACAAACAAACAAACAAACCCCACCCTGCTCCAGTTAACTTCATGGCCTGCTGTCCTCTCGGTCATCAGGGTTGAGCACTACCTCCCCTAGCCAGCTTCTGGCCCGCAGCAATGAGTCTCCCTGAGACTCCTCTCACAGATACGGCTCATTCTAGCCTAGGGCTAAATCCAACAGAACCTTTTAAATCACTGTCTAGCTGGACCTCTCTGCCATACCCTCTCCCTTGGTTCTTTACTAACACTTACACATGCGCAAATCTCTCTATCCAAAAAAATAAAAAGGAAGAAGCACAAAACTCCAACAGGTTGGGGCTGGCATCCCATATGGGTGCTAGTTCATGTCCCAGCTGCTCCACTTTCCATCCAGCTCCCTGCTAATGGCCTGGGAAAAGCAGCAGCAGATGGCCCAAGTGTTTGGGCCCCTGCCACCCATGTGGAAAACACAGATGGAGTTCCTGGCTCCTGGCTTCAGCCTGGCCCAACTCCAACCATTGCAGCCATCTGGAGAGTGAACCAGCGGAAGGACGATCTCTACCCACCCACCACTCCCATCCTGCTGCCCTCCTCCATAACTTTGACTTTGAAATAGATAACCTTTAAAAAAAAATCCAACAGACTCCCCTTTCATCCACTCTCCCATAACCACCACCATCAAACTTGTTGGCACTGTTATCCACTCACCCTGGAGTTCTATTTCCTGATGTCCACTCTCTATTAAACCCTGACACAGAGTGGTCCTGCCACTGCCAGCCTCCACACTGCTAACCTCTCCTGACCGCCAAGCTCTCCCTCTTCGCTGAGATTCTCTTGGACACCATAACCTCCAGTCTAATCCATCTCATTGTAGGAGCTTACCTTCTTGCCTACATTTCAAACACAAGAGTTCCTTGGATTTCATTCTGTTCTGCTGCTTTTGCTACTCTACACATGCTCCTTGAATCACCCCATCGACTCCAGCAGCCTCATTAACAAACATGCAGGCAAAGGCGGAGGTTCCAACCGTTGCTCTGTTCCTAGCACCCTATTGAGCACTGCGTAATTTCTCAAACCATGGAGTCAGGCTGGGCACCACCTCTCTCATTTCCATCCCACACTGATTTTCATATGGTGCAGCAACTACCAAAAACACGTCTTAACAAAGGTGGCACCATAGAAAAGAATGGTGCATTTGTCAGCTCTCTGTTACTATGACAAAATACCAAAGACAAGCTACTTACAAAGGAAAGAGGGGTTTGTCTAGCTTGGTTTTGGAGGTTCAAGTCCAAGATCAGGCAGCTCCAACAGTATGGTATCTGATGAGGGCAGTGCTCCAGCAGGTGCAGAACAAGGATCATATGGCCAGCCAGGAAGTAGGCTTTTATGACCCACCTTCTCAGAACACCCCTAATGACCCCATACTAGCCCCACCTCCTAAAAACCGTAACTGGGTAAAGTTTCCACCCTCTTAGTGCCACTAGCTTATGATTTTGGGGTTTCCACCATCTGCGTGAAGTCAGGAGCCAAATGCTGTTCAAATCATAGCAAATGCAGTTCAATCTAGGGTAAAATGTAGCTCCAACAGGATGCAAAAGACATGAAGTAATGCTATTTGCTCAACAAGTTAGATGTCCCCCCAGTCTCCCTCTGAGCTAATAGTGACACCTTTGTTGGCTGTTGGAGAATTCTCAAACTGTCTGGGACACTGTAAGGCAGCCAAGAACTCTCACATTTGTACCTTCAGTCCAGATACCTCCTGATATCCAGATCACCAACACAGCTGACCAAACACCTAAAACGTACCCTGGCCAAGGGTAACCCAGCCTTTCCCGCACACCCACACTGCTGCCCCTATCCAGGAGGACAGCATCATCCAGCCAGCCAGCCAGAAGCAGGTATAGCCCTCATTGACTAACTTCCCTGCCTCTGACACACACATCCTCAAACTGCCCTCCTTAGAGCCTTCGGTCCTCTCATCTACGCTCCAAAGGACAACCATACCATGTTCCTGTCCCTCTTTTGCTCAGAATTCTTCAACCATTTCCTCTTGCCCCAGACAACTACACACAACAGGAATCCCAAGACTCTCGTGGCACAGATCCTAGCAACACCCCTGTCTCACTTCTTGCCACTTCCCTCCCTTGTCCTCCACCGCTCTGCCCCAATAAACTCCTGTTGTTTGTTTCCAGTTGCTCCAATGTACCCTCTCTCTTCAACCCAGGCTCTGATCCACACCCTCTCATGTACCTCCTTTGGGAGACTCCTGTAGTCCCTCTGAATAGTCCCTAAGCTTGAGTTCTGATTCTCCTCCCAGCTCCTACAGCTGGCCCCTTTCTGAGCCCCTATCATACACAGCCTGCATTGTAACCCATGGTTAAAACTGTATGAGGTCAAGACTGAACAGCAAGCTTACTGGGGGCTGAAAGAGGTATCTGTCCTGTTTATCACTGAATCCTCAGCCCATAGTATAAATCCTAAAGTGTACTGAGTGATTAAAACAGGGAACGAACAGATCAGGTCACGCATCCGAGGCTGCCATGCCCACACTGCTCACTCTCAACACAGCACTCATCACACTGCACCGTTTCTCTCCATAGGTTAGGAACATCTTGAAAGCTCTACTCTCTTATGTCTGCCACCTCTGTGATGAAAACAGTGCCTGGTACTTACTAGGCATTCGATACATGGTTTTTAAATGTCAAAGATTATTGAGAAAAAGACTCTGGAAGGAAACATCCCACACTAGTAACTGATTACCACAAAAGAACGAACTGAGATAAGGGCAGCCATAGGAGATTACAGAGTTTCCCTCCAACATCTCCATACTGACATGAGATTCACTGTACAATGTGCAGTATTTTTTACTGGCATAAAATACTCCTGAATTACCAGTGTAAAAATTAAGTCACATGTAAAGAACCAGCCCTGAAGAAGCATTTGGTGATAAGAAGCATTTGGTTCAAAACGCCTGCCACTAAAGCAAACTCCCACCACCACCACCACCACCACCACCACCACCCCCAAAATCCTGACTTTAAGGCAGGCTATTGGGGCCAGCGCTGTAGAGCAGTCTCTGCCTGGAGCATTGCCGAAGTCCCTGTTGCTCCACTTCCTTTCCAGCTCCCAGCTAATGGACTTGGGAAAGCAGCAGAAGATGGCCCAAGTGCTTGAGCCTCTGAACCCATGTGGGAGATCCAAAGGAAGCTCCTGCCTTTGGCCTGGCCCAGCCCCAGCCACTGCAACCATCTGGGGAGTGAACCAGTGGATGGAAGACCTCTCTCCCTGTCTCTCTCTCCCTGATACCTTTCCAACAAATAAAATAAATCAAAGAAAAAAAAAAAAAAGGCAGAGTACTAAAGGGCGGAACAGTTTAACAATTTAAGGTCTGTACTGGAATACAGAGCAACCCCAGTGATGAGCACAACCTGTGAGTAGTCTAACAGGGAAGTTCTTGGAACTCTAGAAAGGACTACTAGCACTGGTCCCCTGGAACAGGCAATTCTAATAGTTGTAATAGTCTTGTGAATACCAAAACATTCACAAGAAAGGTGACCCGCCACACGCAAACTCCTGTGGGACCTGCAAGGTCCTAGCAGATCTACGAAGACACCCTGGCAACACACAGGGGGCTAGATGTGGGCACAAGCACTCAGCAGCCTGTGTTCAAAGTCATGTAGCATCACTGACTCTTGGTTCAGAAACTTAAAGCAAACAGATAATGTTCTATAGCAACTTGACCTCAGCAGCTAGAAGCTCAAGGACCATTTTTATATAGAGATAGTTCTAGAACTAGCTGCTTTTCCCTGTTCCAAGTAGAAGCAAATACGGCTAGATGATGACTACATAAAGCCGACCAAACTTTCCAACCAAGTGAGCTTTAAGCACCTGAAGACACACCTGTCATGAGCAGCAGTGCAATGCAACGGTCTTTTAAACCGAGGAAAGAGGAGCACCTCGATGTTGTCAGAACCCGGGAGAAGGCTGCAGAGAGCACTCAAGGAGAACTGCCTTTGAGAAAGGTCAACCCCAGCTCTCTTTTGTTTAACCTCTCCAGTGGATAAAAAGAACCAGCTGTGAAGAATCACTGCATTGTTTCGCTGCTACAAAGGGAAAGTTTGGTAAAGCAGAAACAAAAAGACACAGCCAACGCGACACGGAATTTGCCCCGGAGGCGTGAAAAAAAAAAAAGTCCACTGGAACACTTAGGACATAAGAGTCGCAGACATTTGAACAGTTTTAGGACAAACCAAACTTTTAAAATGCGAAACCTTACAAATGGCTAGCTTCCCTCTCCCCTTGACAAAAATGCGGATTCCGGTTCCTCCGAGTCAAAATGGCATGCCCCGCGTCGCATCTGATTTGCTGCAGAGCTTCAGTGCAAAAACTAGCCTTTTTGCATTTTCAGCTCTGAAAACTCCAAAACGTCTGCTGAAAGTAAACCGCCAGATTAAAAATTAATCCCCGAATGAGCAAGGATTCCTATTCCGCCCAACAGCAGCCTATTCATCCCTAAGCCCTTCGCATAGTTTAATAATTAAGAACTCAGCTCGCCACCAGGGGAACTATCCCTTGCAGAGAGGCCAGGCCGCCAAGAAATCGCCACTGCCCCCCAAGTATCGAAGACCGAGAGGAGGCATTTTGCCCTGGCGGAAGCTCGGGCGCCGCGGCCCCCGCCCAAGCGCAGGGGAAGCCTCCGGGGACGGTCCACCCAAGGCGGAGCGGCTCCGGGGAGCCGGCTAGCCCGACCTCGCTCCCCTCGAGGAGCCGAGCCTGACCGCTGAGGCCCGAGCCGCGCGGCCCCGCAGCCCTGGGCTAAGGGGCCGCACTCGCCACGCACGCGAGCATCAGGAGGGCGCAGCCGATGCGGCCGAGGGCCCGACCCCAGTGGGCGGCCCGCACGTAGAGAGGGGACTAGATGCAGCCGAGGCGGGGGCGCGCGGGGCGGGGAAGGATGTGCAGGTCCCCGGTGCGGGGTGGCCGGGGGCGTCGCGCATGGGGCGCGAGCGGAGGCCCGGGCGCCACCTGCGACCGGCCGCCCCGCGTCCGGGGAGCGCGCCCCGGACAGCGCGGGGGCCAAAGGGCCGGGGACGGCGCGGGAGAGAAAGGCTGCCGGGCCGCGACGGCGGGAAGCCAACGGCAGGCGCGGGAGCCGGACAGTAGGATGCTGCCGGGCTGCGGGACCAGGCGCGGGCAGCGCCGCGGCCCGCAGTGGGCCCCGCAGCCCGGCCGGAGCGCGCGTGGCGCGATGCAGCAACTTCACTTGGCCGCGGGGCCTCCGGGGGCCCCGGCTGCGCGCCCACCCCCTCCCCCGGCGGCCACCCGAGCCGGAGCCCAGCAGGGAAGGGCACCCTGGACCAGGGAACCGGGCCGGCCGAAGCCCGCACTCACCGCTCCGCGGTCCCGCCGCCGGCGCCGGGACTGCGTTCCGAGCTCCATGGTCCCGCCGTACCGCGGCCGCTCGGCGCCCCCTCCCGCACCACACCGCACGCAGCGGCGCGAGCGACGCCGCCTCCGGCCGGACCACGGCCGCGGCCACGCCCCCTCCCG